AAACAGGGATTCAAGGGATTCAAACAGGGATTCAAGGCGTTCAACCCTTACATCCAAATCCCGTTGGAACGTGGATCACGTGATCCTGGTGACCCTTGACCGCTACATATATATATATATATTAATATCAGGTGCCTCATGACGTAAGCAATATCGTCCTCGTAACCGCACGTATCGATGACGTCATCGTTCCTCGCCCACGCGCGTACCGCTGACGTCACCACTTCTCGCCGCAGGTCGACACGATATTAAGCGCATGCACTGGGCGAACGCCGACAAATGCCGACGTCACGGCGGCATCGTGCGCGAGCAGGTGGCGCGACGGTCGCACGTCGTGCTGCTGTACGAGCCGCGCGACGTCGAGGCGATGTTTCGCCACGAGGGGCGCCACCCTCTGCGGCCGCACTTTGAGCCACTCGTCGCCTACCGTCGGTCGAAGGGCATGACCTTGGGCATTGGATTTCTGTAAGTGTGAGCGGGGCGGGGCCTGGGATGTAGAGGCTAGTGGCTGGTGGGTGGGGCAGGTAGAGAGGGTAGGGTTAGGGTTAGGGTTCATATATTCTTTATTTATGTATTATTAATGGATTCTTTATTTATTTATTTATTTTCTTCTAAAGCTATTTATTAATGAAGCTATTTAGTTTATTATTTATTTATTTATTCGTTTGCTTGTCTGTCTTCTTGTTTGTCTATCTGTCTGCCTGTGTGTCTGTCTGTTTGTTTGTTGGTTTGATTGTTTGTTTGTGAGTGTAATTGTATGGTTGATCTACGCAGGCAGGGTGAGGAGTGGTACAAGCTGCGGTGCATTCTGCAGAAGGTTATGATGGATCCGATGGCGGCCGTACCTTACCTAGGTGAGTGCCACTCACACTCGTATGTACACAGACACACATGTTCTACGCACCTACTAACCATCCCTCACTCTGTATGATCTCTCTCGCGGCTGCGCTCTCTCGCACAGTATCATTATTTCTCGCGCGCTCTCTCTCTCTTTCTATTGCTCTCTTTCTCTCTCGCTCTCTCTCTTTCTCTTTTTCTCCGTCTCTCGATCCCTGACCTTCTTTCTTACCCTTCCTCTATCTCTCTTTCTCCTACGTTCCTTTTCTCTCTCTCTCTCTCTTTCTCTCTCTCTCTCTCTCTCTCTCTCATGCATTAAAACCTCTACGCTAGACTAACCCTACCGGTACGCTACCTAGCTAAATAAAAATAATCCTTCAGACGGAACTGCGGAATCGACGTGTTGAAAGCTCGCGTCGTAGCAGCAAGGTAACCGGAAGCAGGAAAGTGCGTGACTGATTGTGAGTGGCGGTCAATGGCGGGGCGTGGAGAGGGTACTGTCAGCCAGGGATCGCCATCAGTGTGTTACGTAGATTGGAGTGTGAAGAGATACGGAGAGCGGTCGGTTGTAGATATGCTTTGGGTTTCGATGAATTGGTGGCTGCGATGTTTCTAGAAGCGGAGCCTCGGTTGAGTAGTCAGAGACAGATATCGTCTGGCAGTAGTACGTCGGGAGATGAGTGAGATAGTGAGGAATAGCGGAGAGAGTAGATACGTGAGTATAGCGGTGAGAAGGTAGATGAGATCGGAGGGGAGGGAGAGAAGGAAGAGGGAGAGAGGAGGAGAGAGAGGCGGGAGGGAGGAGAGGAGAGAGAGAGAGGAGTTGGAGGAGGAGAGAGAGGAGAGAGAGCGGAGGTGAGGGAAGGAGGGAGAGGGCAGAAGCGAGAGGGACGGCAGCAGGACGGACACACACATACAGAACACACACACAACACACGGGCAACCCCAGCACACGCACTACACCAAGCAGCTACGAGCGCAGCACGCACGCACGGCACGCCAGACATCCATGACAAACGGGCGGTGCCCAGCACAGCGGGAGCAGCAAACGCACGCACAAACAGCAGCATTGGGGCACACACACACAGTGATGCATGCATCAGCGTTTTACCTCTCGCGTTTGTGCATACACATGATAGCAATATTAGAATCTGGCAGCCGAGTGGATTGTTTTACATGAAGCCGGTTACATCAGGCGCCCATTATCTGCAGCAGCTATAGAAGCCCGGTATCTCCTGCCGCGATCCGTCAGTGACGTCATCAAGCTCACGAAATGTGTTGGCTCAGCGTCGTACGGATGAGGTATACCGGAGAGTGATTAATTAATTATTGACATTAATTAATTAATAATTTAATGATTAATTATTATTATAATTAATCAATTAATCAATTATTATTTATCAATTTATAAATATTTCTAAATTTATTATCAATTTATATCATGTTATGAATTTTTTATTAATTCAAGTTTAATAATTAAATCAATTATATATTTAGTTATTAAGTCATGTACATTTAATCATTCATTAATTAATCATAGTGATATAAATTATGAGAGCTGGAGAGATGAGAATGTTACGATACTGGCGGCTGTGCAAGGGGATAGATGAGGGCACGGTGCGCACGTAAACACAGGCACTTGAAGCGTTTCCATAAAATGTTATGCTAAATAAATACGTAATCTATTTACCTACCTAAACAGCAAATTGTCGGGCAAATAAATTAGGCGTAGAGAGTAGAGAAAACTTAAGCTTTGGTAGTTAAGTCGATTTTGGGTATTTATTTAGAATTTCGATTTTAGTTGAATCGGCTCCAATCGCTGTGGCAACGTATGAATCTAGACCATAGACCCCCCCCGTCTGCGTCGTTAGAGTTTAATAGGGGTAACGGGAGTGTGCGTGTGGTGGGGCGGCGTATGTGTACATGTGTCTGCAGAGGTGGAAGGTGCGCGCATCGGAGGATGAGAGAGAGAGAGTGAGAGGATAGGAGCGCGGCGTAGATAAGAGAGGAGAGAGAGGAGGAGAGAGAGACGAGAGAGAGCGATGAGAGAGAGAGAGAGAGGAGAGAGAGGAGAGAGAGATAATA